AGCAAAAGGTGGGTGTGGCTGGATAACCACACTTCTGGTAACATGGGGGTGTGGCCTAATATGCTAATGAGTTCCTGCTGTTGGGTGTGGCCTATTATGCTAATGAGTTCCTGCTGGGCTTTTTCTACAAAAAGAGCCTGGAGTTCCTTGGTGGTCTCCCATTCAAGCACCAACCCCGCTTAGCTCCCTAGCTCTGAGGAGAGCAGGATAGCCGGGACCATCCAGGTCAGGGATGTGACCAGTTCTGCTTCCATACAAGTGAAGGCTCTTTTGCTCCTGTGGGTGGTTTTCTACTGGGCTGTCTGCTTTTCTTCAGAGAGACCACTCGATCTGCATTCAAGAACGCCGGTGATCCGGGACCCTCGTGCAAACAATGGCCCCTGCCCGGTTTCGATTTGGAACCGATGGCTACGAGTGGCAGGGATTTTCAACATGTTCCTTTCCTCCCCTACCAGACAGAAAACACTGAAAAGTGTTCATGATGACATCATTCCATAGATCGATAAGAGGGAGTGGGGAGGAACCCACGCCGTACGCATTAACGCAGAGAGCTAAACATTTCCGGCGGCTCTTCTAGGAATTTTGTGACGACGGAAAGCATGCTAAAACGTCACTACGTTCCGGTTACCATAATCACAGTTGCCTTGACCAGTATTCCCTCTAAGCTGTGGAATCTTGTGAGCAAAAATTCTGCTTTGTGAGCAAGCGATTTGGCTACTGCTAAATTGGTTTGCTCTGGAGCCCTCCTTCCTGAGCGAAGACAAAAAGGTGTGAGCTGGAGGCTAAAAAAACTGTGAGCTAGCTCACACTAACTCAGCTTAGAGGGAACACTGGCCTTGACTGTGTTTGTCTTTTGGCCCCTGAGACAGGGATGATTGTGCGGAGGGTTACCTGATGTTCCTTGTTATAAGGCACTGATACTCTATGGGGCAAAACAGATCCCGGATTGCCGCCTGTTCTTTAATGGTGGACATATTTTGATATGGGCAATGGCAGGCCCCAAACCGTGGCTCCGCCCCTCGGATTCACTCCCACACAAACTCGGACGGGGCAAAGAGCCTTTTAAACCCGTGCGGTGTGAACAGCTACAAGGGCTCTGAATACCAGATGCGAGGGCCCCAATGTATCAGTAGGTTTCCCCATTGAAACGAAAGCAAATGGAACGAAAGAACCACTAAGCCAATTGATGCCTCAAACAGCCAAAACGATCCTCACTGTTGCTGATATGCCAACGAAATGGAGAAATGGTAAGCCCCAGTAGTCATGTATGGCTGTGAGAGTTGGACTATAAGGAAGGCCGAGCGCCGAAGAATAGATTCTTTTGAACTATGGTGCTGGAGGAGACTCTTGAGAGTCCCTTGGACTGCAAGGAGATCAAATCAGTCAATCCTAAAAGAAATCAACCCTGACTGTTCCCTGGAAGGCCAGATAATGAAACTGAAGCTCAAATACTTTGGCCACCCAATGAGAAGGGAGCACTCACTGGAGAAGACCCTGATGCTGGGAAAGACTGAAGGTCAAAGAAGACGGGGACGGCAAAGGATGAGATGGTTAGACGGTGTCATCGATGCAACGAACATGAAGTTGAGCAAACTGCAGAGGACGGCGGAAGACCGGAAGGCCTGGCGGGAGCTGGTCCATGGGGTCGTGAAGAGTCGGACTCGACTGTGCGACTGAACAACAACAACAACAAGCTTCCTGACTACCAAGCGTTGTTCAGTGCTAGATATCAACACTGGCACGATCCACAAACTCGTTAAGCCGGCAGTTCTGCACTTAACCTAATGTCATGTTGTTGATTGCCGATGAGATTCATCTGGCATAATTTGCAACAGTTCAGTCATGCATGGTTTAATTATGATTTATAATCTGCTTCACAGTATATTATTAGCGTAAGACTATTTCAAACATATGAGGGTTTTTTTGAAAAAAAATATTGGATTTTTTTTGGGGGGGGGGAAGCTAAAGTTACTCCTGCTGACTCCATGTTTCTTATGCAATGTGGCATCCTTTGGTCAAACTTCTAATTACATGTCAATTTTAGGGATTATCCATCAATTTGGTCATAATCCTGTTAAGGAAAGAGGAAGTTTTCTCTTTTTCTGGTTATCAATACAAACTTTTCATAGCCAGGGGTGTGTCATAACCAGTGTTCCCTCTAAACTGAGTTAGTGTGAGCTAGCTCACAGTTTTTTAGCCTCCAGCTCACAGATTTTTGCCGTAGCTCAGGAAGGAGGTCTCCAGAGGAAACTAATTTATGCAGTAGCCAAATCACCTGCTCACAACTTTAATGCCAGTAGCTCACAAAGTAGAATTTTTGCTCACGGGACTCCACAGTTTGGAAGGAGCATTGGTCATAACTACAGTGTCAGATTTCTGTGTGGGAGGTCAGGGACAAAGCCCCATAGCCATATTGCCCAGTGGCTATTAGCCAAGATCAGTGTACCCTCTAAGCTGAGTTAGGGTGAGCTAGCTCACAGTTTTTAAGCCTCTGGCTCACACATTTTTGTCTTAGCTCAGGAAGGATGGCGCCAGAGCAAACTGATTTATGCAGCTGCCAAATCGTTTGCCCACAACTTTAATGCCAGTAGCTCACAAAGTAGAATTTTTGCTCCCAAGACGCCACAGTTTAGAGGGAGCATTTGCCAAGATAGACGGATTCTTGGTCTAAAGCAGCAAGATCCTTCTTATGTCTTCAAGGGTGACCTCTCACCCTACAGCACCTTACCATACCATTGTGAGGCTAAAAACTCATTCTAAACTGAGTGGATTAAGCATATCATACAGCTAGCATGCATTAATAAATGCAATGCCTGCAAATGACAGGAAGTAACTTTGCTCTGGATACCAATGTAAACATGACATACATCCAGATTCTAACCATTTAGAAGTTTCATTCTTCCCAGAGGGGAAAAATATATTTTGGCTTCCAAAGTATTTAATAGATATGTTTTCTCTTCTAAAATGTACATACCTTTGAATCGGGGCCTTTCTGTGTCTTATTTTTCGACGGATCCAGAACCAATGTAAACATGACATACATCCAGATTCTAACCATTTAGAAGTTTCATTCTTCCCAGAGGGGAAAATATATATTTTGGCTTCCAAAGTATTTAATAGATATGGTTTTCTCTACTAAAATGCACATACCTTTGAATCGGGGCCTTCCTGTGTCTTAGTTTTGGACGGATCCAGAAAGAGCCCCAAACTACTTGCAAACACAAATCAAACTCTCGTTGCAAATTTCAGTTTGACGCGCCGGATTTTTAAGGCAAATAATGAAAAGAACAGTTTCCACATGTCCTTTTGACGATACCCCGGGATACACGGCAACTCTGCAACAATCTCAACTCCTGAACCCCCTGTGACTTTTCTGCATATAGTGAGTGACAAATGTTCCACTCCTAAACATAGTTCCTTAGAACAGAGTCCCTCACCCTCGGATTTCAAAATTTCTAAGGAAGGATAAGGTGCTTCCATGCCTGTTTTTCTCTTTTCTTGAGAAGTAGCTCGACTATCCAACTTTACTTGTAGGTTTTCACACCAGTGCTTAACAAACAGAAAGTTCCCAAAAGAAATCAGACAACCTTTGGGGGAGCTTCCCCAGCAAATATGCCTGCAGTGCTCAGGTCGATATGCTTCAACAAATTACCCTGCTGCACTTTTGAACTTCTAATCTAATACATATCTAAGGTTGCAAACTTAAATGCACTGAATCGATAGATTCGATCAGCCACCGGGGCAGCCCTGTAGCTAGGGAATTTTTGGGAAGGGGGCCTGGGGGGGGGGGCGCCAGCTAATTAATCAAAGCACAATGCAGGTAGCAAGTTGGGGCACTTAGGGGTAAGCCCAGGAAGGAGGGGGCCCAGAAGAAACACGAGAGGGCCATGCCCCATGGGCCCCATGTTAGCTACGGGCCAGCACCGGGGGCAGATTCTAACAAGAGTTATTCAATTTCAAGGGCAAGGGCAGAGATCTATGGTCACCCTTGTTTATTTCTTAGCCTATTTTGGTTCTGGTATGTTACTGTACTAGAGAATTCTAAAAAAGATCTTTTCCCCCTTCCAACAATGAATCGCAATTTTTACCAAACTTTGTTGTTCTAAATCCTTTAATATTCCAAACAGTTATGTACTTACATTGAAATGCTGGTGATTTACACATTTATTTAAATTTAAGTGATGTTTAACCAACTAGACATTATTGAATTAGTCAATAATCCTAGAAATGTTGAGACACTGCCGGTGAACGCACCAGATATACTGATACAGCAGCAGGGTCGTAACCCAGATAATTTAGGGTATGTGGATAAAGACAATATTATAGGACATGAGTTTAGGCTGTTGACTTTGGTCCCTTTTCTCAAGCACTGTTATAATCGCTTAAGCTCCATCACTGGTGTTAAACATTCCCAGGCAGAGCTGGGGGTATGACGGCTCATTCTCATTTTGGGATTTAAAAACAAATTACAACTTAACATGTCAATTAAATACTGGCCGTCTGAAGGCTTAATGTAAAATATTTGGATTAAAAATTCAGTTTCTGTTAAAATTAAAATTGCCATTTACCTGAAGGTGGCTGTATAACTAGAAACAGGTGTTCCTAGAGAACACACAAAGAAAACAGAAATATTTTCTAAGGCACTTAAGTCTTCTATTAACATATGCTAAGATGGACTGTGGCTTGTCTGAAATATGTATGGTACCTGAGATCAGTTTTCACCCAATTGTCTAGCATACTGTCCACTGAGTTTATTTGTTACATCTTACAAAGTTGTATTTCACTTGGAATAAACATTTGTGCCTACAGTTTGATTGGAAGGGCACAAATATTTTTCTCTTTTCCCACATATGTATGAAGGACCTGCAAAGATTTTAACCCCCGGGACAGCCTGTAGCTTGCTTCTTAAGAACCTTTGTGAAGTGAAACATTCTGTGTCCGGGAACAGAAACAGAAGAACTAATAAAAATCCTATAAGACAATACATTAATTTCCCCCATTTAATGTCATAATTATATTATAAAAATAGAATGACAAATAAATATGCATGCCTGGCCAGAGCAATTGGGGGGGGGGGATGTTTGTAACGGAATCACTTCCATTTTGGATCACAGAGTTTTGCATAACAAACTATTTTTCTTTACAAAAAGAGACCATTTTAACATGACAACAAAGATGTGCACTGGAGTTTCTACATTGCTGGAACTTCCTTATTTTATCTGAACCAAAACCAGTCAATATTTTTAACTTTTTGGGTGTGTGTTAAGATTTACTTCAACACACAACCTGATCTCACGGACGTTTAATCAGAAGCAAATCCAATTTCGAAGGGACTCGCTTCCAGGTTTGTCTCTTTGTTTGTTTCACCTTGTAGCCTTAAGTCCAGTTGAGCAGTGGAAGGTTTCAGCACCTGCTAAATGCTTTCGCCTTGGAAACACTAATTAAACTTAACTTTGGCTGGATTACTCACTTTTTATAAAAAAAACCTGTATGCTACTGATGCTAAAAATCCAATGGTTTTAAGAATCCTAATAAACATTATGAACAATTCATTGATTTTAATTGACATGACTACAGGAGCAATCCCATTCACTGGAGCTTGCTTCCAGGAAAGTGTTTTTAAGACTGCAGTCTAAGTGTACGATCTTGATTGTGCTACCCAATTCTAAGCATGTTTACTTGGAAACAAGTCCTACCGAGATCAGTTGAGATGTAATGGTAACCAGGCATGCACAGTTTACCTGACGATTCTATAGTTCCTTGCTTTAGATCCTTGAACTATCTTTATATTCTTTCTTTAATTCCTTGAAATATCTATTTCATGAATAGAAGAAATTGTTCACATCAACTGTTGTGTGGCCGTGGACTGAAAGAAATACACTGTGATTTAAAAAAAAAATTAGAGGATTGTTTAAGAAACTTAGAACAGGATCTAGTTTAAATATTTCCCCATCGGAGTGCTTCAGGTGAGCCAGCTTTTCATTTTTGATTGACAAAAATGCCTTTCCCTTGCCTCTTGGTTTTTGCAAGGTTGACGCTCACCTTTGGAAGAAGCCCATGGAGCACGCAGTTAATGACACAGTACCAGCTATCTAAATGGATTTCCTCATTCTTCCTTTCCCTGGCCACACGTAAACTTATCAGAAGAAAAGATCGGTAGCTGCACATTGTACAGCACACAATAAGTCTGGTTTCTGGCACAACAGAGTGAGTGCGGAAGAAAATAAAAGTTTCAGTCTTCTCAACCAGGTTTTGCATCGTCCAGACAATTTTGAAAATATCGGCTGCGTGGCCCACACCTGACCTTATCCATCTCACAGCATCTACACCAAGGAACATTTACTTTGTAAAGGGATAACGCTCACAAGCTGCTTGCTAGAAACTCCAGACTGGCTGGATTTGAATCCACTTTAGAGATCAACAAGATTTTCAGGGCCCACGCTTTCCAGAGTCAAAGTTTCCTTCATCAGACACCAAAATCTTATACCCCAAAACTCTCTTTGATGTCTAAAGCAATGCTCCCTCTAAGCTGCGGAGCCCTGTGAGCAAAAATTCTACTTTGTGAGCTGCTGGCATTAGAGTTGTGAGCGAGCGATTTGGCTGCTGCATAAATCAGTTTGCTCTGGAGCAATGCTCTCTCTAAGCTGTGGAGTCTTGTGAGCAATAATTCCACTGTGTGAGCCACTGGCATTGGACTTGTGAGCGAGCGATTTGGCTACTGCATCAATTAGTCTGCTCTAGAGCCCTCCTTCCTGAGCGAATACAAAAATGTGTGAGCCGGAGGCTAAAAGATTGTGAGCCAGCTCACACTAACTCAGCTTAGAGGGAACACTGGTCTACGGTGCTTCTGGACTCCAGTCTAACGGCTCCCCTGCGGACCAACCCTCTGGAACTCAAGAAAGATTGCTTTATCTCATGATAATAGCTTTCCTCTGTCTCTCTAGAACGCATTCAGGAACATGCCAACTCGCCGCAGTTCCTAAAACCCAATGACAAAACTTAAAAACACTGTCTAGAAGATCCCAGCACAGCTGTTCAGAGCAAGAAGCTCATCCAAACACCTGCCAGGTCATCCAACAGGAAAACTTCCAACTTTCCCACATCAGTTCTGCCAGGCTTCCAGACTACATCCTGCTGGCTTTTGCACCGTTCTGTTGCCCAGACTGTTGAATGTGTCAAGTTTTAAAAGTGTGTTTCTGCAGAGGCTGGATTCTTCTGAGTGGACTTCCCAAAAGGTAACAGGGTGTTTCCCCCCCCCCCCCCTCCAAACCCCTAACTGTGTTGTGAGCCTTCCTAAGCTCCATGCGCCTAACAGGAGCAGGCAGCTGCCTACACAAACCCAAAGCCACAAGGAATGCGTTAGCCTTTAGGATGCCGCACAGGGTGCTTCGGGTTCTGCTCCCGGCCGACCTGTAGGGTTTTTCGCAAGCTCCTCCGGACGATCTCCTCGGGATCTTTTAAGAAACACGTTTCCCTTTTGCAAAAAGCCCCCCTCCCCCGTTTTCCTTTCCTAAAATGCGCGAGATAATTGACAGCTCAGCCTCTTTTTCCTTCAGCCTCACTTTTTAAAAAAAAGTATTTAAAGAAAAAGCATGGTCACATCACCCTTTTCCGCGACGCCAACGGAGAGCCCTCTCTCGTTTTCTGCAACCGCTTCCTGAAATGTATTCCCGTCTTATCCTCCCCGCCCCGTCCAGTTTCATACTTGTTTACAGTCCCCCGTAGTTTTTCCCCGCAACTTTGCGAGCCGCACGCACCGAGAGACGCAGGCTCAGCCCTTCCCACGTCCACTCTGGCAGAAAAGCAGGTGAAAACGACACCGCCTCCAACCAAACGCCGCTTCCCCGTCCCTTTGGGGCAGGTCCCGATCCCGCAATGCCCAGGGGAACCAAACACACCGGACCGGAACACCCCACACTCGCAAACCAGACACCAACCCAAAAACGCAAAGTTCGCCGGCGTCTCCCGCAGTGGAGACCAATGTTCCCTCTAAGCCGTACAGTCTCATGAGCAAAAATTCTACTTTGTGAGCTCCTGGCATTAAAGTTGTGAGCGAGCAATTTGGCTACTGAATAAATCAGTTTGCTCTGGAGCCCTCCTTCCCGAGCTAAGATAAAAATGTCTGAGCCACAGGCTAAAAAACTGTGAGCCAGCTCACACTAACTCAGCTTAGAGGGAACACTGGTGGAGACAGCCAAACCCACGCCTTTAACACCCACCCACACCAGTTATTCCCTAGCAATCCAATGGAATCCGGCTGTCGGTTCCGAGGAAGGGCTTGAGCCCGGGGAGGGAGAGAGAGAGACTCTTGCCGGGAAGAACCGGACCGGGAACTCCCGGCCGCTGGCTGGGAAGCGCACCCCCGGCGACGCGTCTCCCGCTCCTCCTCGCCCCAACTTTCGGCCTCCCCTCCGGGGAAAGTTTGGCAGAGGACCCCCATTCCGGCTGCGCGTCGCGGAGGGGCAATACGGTACCTGCTCCGGCGGCCCAGGGCTCGCCCGCTCCATGTGCTGCTGCTGCTGCTGCTGCTGCTCCTCGGCCCAGGAGCGCGAAGGCGGCGGCGGCGGGAGGCAGCTGGGCTCTGGGTCCCTCCCCTCCCCGCCACTCCACTTCCTCATTCCAGTGCAACATCCTCGCCCGCGGCCGCTCCGGCGGGCATCTCGGCCCGGCGCCCGGGGGCGCGCCGCTTTTGCACTGGCGACGGGGAGGGAGCCAGCGAGCGAGCGAGGCGGGCTGGCCGAGGCGGTCAGATGGTGGAGGGAGGCGACACCCCCCTCCTCGCCCGCCCCCCTCCCGGGGGCGGCCCCCGGGGCACCTGCCGCCTCGGAGAGGAGGGGGGCGGGACAGGTGCTCTTTAGAGAGGAGGCCGGCCAGAAGAAGGCGGGAGACAGAAGCTTCCCCTGCGGGTAGACAGGTAGGGTGCGTGGAGCCTCCTTGGTCAGAGGCAGTATACCTTGGAGCAATCAGGGCTGGCTCCAGCTTATTTTGCACCCTAGGCGAGGATCCCCTCTGCCCCCCCCCCTGCGCCCACCATTTTTCAAAAATAAATGCATTTTAGGAAGAATGAAAAACACAAATAATCAAGAAACTCCCAGAGTACGGGCCGGTGCAGTTTGGTGCCCCTAATGCCCGTCCCGCTCTAGGCGATCGCCTAGTTCGCCTAGTGAGTGAGCCGGCCCTGGGAGCAATGCTCCCTCAAAGAGTGATTAACAGGTGGAATTCACTGCCACAGGAAGTGGTGGCGGCCAGAAGCATGGACGGCTTCAAACAGGAATTAGATAAGCATCTGGAGCAGAGGTCCATCGGTGGCTATTAGCCACAAGGTATAGGTAGGGACTCTGGGGCAAGTGATGCTCTGTCATCTTGGTGCTTGGGGGGGGGGCAACAGTAATGTCCTGGCCCCACTGGTGGACCTCCTGATGGCACTGCTATTTCTGGCCACTGTGTGATACAGAGTGTTGGACTGGGTGGGCCTTTGGCCTGATCCAACATTGGTGTCCCTTATGTTCTTATGTTCTTAAGCTAAAATTCTCCCTAAAATTCTACTTTGTGAGCTGCTGGCATTAAAGTTGTGAGCGAGCCATTTGGCTAGGCAAAGGTAAAGGTTCCCTTGCTCGAAAGCCGGTGGAGTCCGACTCTAGGCTTGCGGTGCTCATCTCCGTTTCCAAGCCGAAGAGCCAGCGCTGTCCGAAGACGTTTCCGTGGTCATGTGGCCGGCGTGACTATTTGGCTGCTGCATCAGTTAGTGTGCTCTGGAGCCGTCCTTCCTGAGCTAAGACAAAAAGGTGTGAGCCGGAGGCTAAAAAGCTGTGAGCTAGCTCACACTATAGCGGCTTAGAGGGAACACTGCCTTGGAGTCACTTTAGGATATAAGTTCAGGCGGGTAGCCCTGTGGGTGTGGAGCCACAGAACATCTGTGTATACGAAGAAATGTGCATGCGCAGGAATGCTTCTTCCTGGAATTAAACATTGTCGGACTTTAAGGGGGGGCCCTGGACTCAAACTTTGTTTTAAGAACATCAGAGCAGCCGTGTTGGATCAGGCCAGTGGCCCATCCGGTCCAACGCTCCTGATAGATTCCTGGTCAGCGACTAACAATAGCAGGAGCCAAAGTCTGAATTCAGAAAAGAGACGGGGCAAAGACTTGCTGTGAGCTGAGGCATGCGCTTGCCTGTTCCTACGAGGGCATGTGAAGCAACACAGGAATGGTGGGAAGGAGTTGTCGAGTTTTCAAGGCAACGCACAGTACCTAATCTCATATTCCACAGCATAAGAACATAAGAGAAGCCATGTTGGATCAGGCCAGTGGCCCATCCAGTCCAATACTCCGTGTCACACAGCGGCCAAAACCCAGGTGCCATCAAGGGGTCCACCAGTGGGACCAGAACTCCAGAAGCCCTCCCACTGCTGCCCCCCCCCAAGCACCAAGAATACAGGGCATCGCTGCCCCAGAAAGTGTGTTCCTACCTATAGGTAAAGGTAAAGGTTCCCTTGCTCGAAAGCCGACTCTAGGGTTGCGGTGCTCATCTCCATTTCAAAGCCGAAGAGCCAGCGCTGTCCGAAGACGTTTCCGTGGTCATGTGGCCGGCATGACTAAACACCAAGGCGCACGGAACACTGTTACCTTCCCACTGAAGTGGTACCTATTTATCTACTTGCAATTTCTTGCTTTCAAACTGCTAGGTTGGCAGGATTCCTACCTATACCTTGTGGCTAATAACCATTGATGGACCTCTGCTCCATATGTTCATCCAGTCCCCTCTTGAAGCTGTCTATGCTTGTAGCCACCACCGTTTCCTGTGGCAGTGAATTCCATGTGTTGTTATTTCTTTGGCTGTCAAGTCACAGATGACTTACGGTGACCCACTGGGGTTTTCATGGAGCTGCGGTGGCTCAGGTGATTAAGACGCTGAACTGCAGGCTGTGGAAGGTCAGTAGTTCAGCAGTTCAAGACCCGAGTGTGCCGCATGACGGAGTGAGCTCCCGTCTCTAGTTCCAGCTCCTGCCAACCTAGCCATTCGAAAGCAAGAAATTGCAAGTAGATAAATACGGACCACTTCGGTGGGAAGGTAACAGCGTTCCGTGCGCCTTGGTGTTTAGTTATGCCGGCCACATGACCACGGAAACGTCTTCGGACAGCGCTGGCTCTTCGGCTTGGAAACGGAGATGAGCACCGCAACCCTAGACTCGGACTCGACTGGCTTTCGAGCAAGGGAACCTTTACCTTTTAACGCAGTAGTATTATGCACCGTTACGTGGGTCTGATCATAAGTCGGTATGCATATGTGTGTTTATGACGTATGCACTACTATGCACCGGGCACTTTTTTTTAGCCAGATTACCTCACAGGTATTTGAAGAAGTGTGCAGTGACTCACGAAAGCTCATACTGTGCCACAAATCTGGTCCGTCTTTAAGGTGCTGCTGGACTGTTGCTCTTTTTAATTACCTCACAGGGTTGCTGTGAGAATTAAAGGGAGGGGAACAAAGAAGAGGAGGAGATTGGATTTATACCCCGCCCTTCACTTGGAGTCTCAGAGTGGCTTACGAACTCCATTCCCTTCCCCTCCCCACAACGGACACCCTGTGAGGTAGGTGGGGCTGAGAGAGCTCTCTCGAGAACTGCCCTTTCAAGGATAGCTCTTGTCAGAATTATGGCTTGCCCAAGGTCATCCAGCAGGTGCAAGTGGAGGAGTGGGGAATCAAACCCGGTTCTCCCAGATTAGAGTCCGCGCACTTAACCACTACATCAAACTACACCAAACAGTGCACACTTCCATGACTGCCTTCGGGGACGCGTGGAATTAAAAGTTTCTTACTAAGGAAATAAACTATACAAACATGGTGACTCCTTACAGTGGGTAAAGTTTAAAGTGTGTGTGTGTGGGGGGGGGATCCATGGAACTGACCCTCCCCTGGGAAGGACAGGGGCGCTACTGTTGTGGAAAAGGCCCACTTGTTGATTGATGTTTGCTCACATAGTTGATTTTTGCCTTAATATTCCATGTTTTAGTAATGGCTAGATTAAGCTACTGGGATGCGACATAACATGGATTTGCCTCTGAAAAATCAGTGGAAATGTCCACTGGTCCAAAATACAATCGGGAAAGTCCTGGGGATTGGGGGGTGGAGCCTGTGGAGGGACCTCTGTGGGGTACAGGGCCATAGAATCCGGCCTCCAAAGCAGGCGTTTTTTCCAGGTGAACTGATCCCTGTAACCTGGCAACCAGTTGTCATTCCGGGAGAGCTCCAGGCCTCACCTGGAGGTTGGCAACCCTAGATTTATCCAGTGCTCGGAGCCCTCCAGCGGCTTTCACTTTATTTCCAGACACAATCAAAATTGTAGTGTTGACCTTTAAAACCTTCAGTGAACCCAGACTATCCCAAAGGACCACATTTTCCCGTGGGGACCTGCCGTTCATTGAGATCAGAACCACAGTTCTCATACGAGTGCTCCGGAGAACTTAGAGGGCTGTCTGCAGGAGAGAGAGCCTTTCTCGTGGGTGTGCCCGAAATATGGAACCTTTTCCTGAAGGATGCCTGAATGACCTTTTGTTATCGTTTAGGCCTCAGGAAAATTCTGTCCTGCTCACCTGAGTCTTGGGTGACTCAGTCTTGAGCAAGTCTATTGGGATCTGTCCAGTGGGGCTCACTTCCAGGACTGGTGTGTGTGTGTGTAAAGCTAAGCAGGGTCAGTCCTGGTTAGTATTTGGATAGGAGACCATCAACCAACATAAGCATACCTGAGGGACCGCCTTTCCCCAAATGTTCCCCAGAGAGCACTGCACTCAGGGGCCCAAACCCAGCTGGCCCTCCCATGGCCCAGAGATGCTAGACTGGCGATAACCAGGGCCAGGGCCTTCTCGGTGGTGGCTCCGTACTGGTGGAATGAGCTCCCGGAGGACATCAGGGCCCTGCAGGACCTCTTACAGTTTTGCAGGGCCTGTAAGATGGAGCTCTTCCACCAGGCTTTCGACTAGGAGCCACCTTAAACACCGAGGAGTGACCCTGTGCCCTGGCTTTATTTATTTATTTATTAAATTTGTATCCCACCCTTCCAACATGGGCTCATAGAGGCAAATGCCATACATAAAACAATAAAACAATAAGCAATCATTACCTATAAACCAGTTAAAAGTCAGTGCTCAACAGATCATATCAATTCCATAATAAAATGCCAATAACCATAACACACTCCGAGTAAACACAATTGTCTCTGCTCAATTGATTGTTCGTTGCGCAGTATTTGTTAGCGTGTGAGTGATAATAGAAGAAAATTTCCTATAGAAATGACTACAGTCAACGTTTTTGCAACTTACCTTTATTGACTCTTCAGCCCCGGTCACACTAGGGGGAAAGGCACGGCTGAAGTGCGGCTTTTTAGAGCCGCATCAAGAGAGAAGGGTGACTGCGGGATCAGACAGATCCCCCCAGCCACTGCGCAGTTCCTCCCCGGCATGATCAGATGCCGGGGGGAAGCCATGGACCGGAGAGCGAGGCGAGCCCACTGTGCATGCGTGTGCATGCGTGTGCATGCGCAGTTCGGCAGGACCTTGCGGCTGCGGGAGAGACAGGCGTGTCGGCGATCAGACGCCCGCCCGTGCTGCGCAGCAACCGGTAGGTAGTGCTGTTTTGCGACTACCTTTTTGAGCCGCGTCTTTGCCCGGAAAGGACGGATCGGGGACAGGTGCGCGCCGCTTCCCAGATGTTGCGGTATGATCGTGCCCACTTGATGCGCCCCCGATCCGTCCCTCCTGCGGGGCAAATCCTCCCGTGTGACCGGGGCCTTTGTTATTTTTGTCACAGATGTTGTTTTTGGAATTCCACTTCCTCCCGTGATCTCTCATTTTTGGCTTCTAGCCTCCAGGGGGGGGCTGGAGGTCTCCTGGGATGACAACTGA